AGAGCATTTATAGTCTCATCTTTGCACTATGTGTACGCACATGCACAACGGAATATTGCCGACATCTTACTGGAATGCACGTGCGCAGATTTGCGTCAAAGTCACTGCGACCCTCAAGGAATGTTTATACGTGATGTTCTCTCTTTTGCCAACCCCCTCATGCAGCCTAGGAGACCATGGTGTTACTGAGATTCAAAACTGACCTTTAAGCTTCGTTCCTGAGACAGTGTACAGCCATGCAACAAGTCTATATAAGGCAAATAGCCTGCTTCAACGGTGACAACAGTAAAGTTCTGTGCAAATGATTGATTGTATTAAATTATTGCAGAGTTAAATAAATATGAGTGAAGTATACAAGAGATATGCAATAATAAAAGGTAAAGTGATAGTGGACATATGGTTGATACGGAGCTAGCATTGTTGGTTGTACAGTCTGACAGCAGCAGGAACAAAGGATCTGCGGAATCTCTCCTTTATACAGCAACGGTGTATCAGTCTTTCACTGAAGCTGCTCTCCAGAGCAGAGAGAGTGTCCTTCAGGGGGTGGTCCTCATGGTCCAGCGTAGACATGAGTTTGATGAGCAGACGAGCAACAGGTGGTGCAATCAGCTCCAGGAGATCTTGTACTTCCTCTGGTGGAGGAAGTGGACTGACCTCCAGATCCCAACAAACATATTACAGTTTAAGATGGATTTTGTGTTTGAAACCAAAGTTTATCTGGAATAATTTGTGATATAATCAAATTAGCTTTTCACTAATTTTAAAGAAATTGGAATGTTTTTAGACCAATTCACAATGCAAATCTATGAGGTAAATAAAACATTATTTGGCCAAATAATGTTTTATTAAATGATTTGCTTAATCAAGAACCAATAACCTTTAGTTAAATTATTCTTTACCCTCTTTGAAATAGCTAGCAGCGAATAGACATCAGGACTCCGCTAAATGACTCTTGGTCATACTTGGTAATGGAAATGTAATGAGCATTCGAGGAACATATGAACACTAATGTTATATCAGTGTTTAAACTCTTAGTGAATAAAGCTTGTCCAAGCTTCAGCAACAGCTCAACACATATTCCTGTAGCATAGCACAGCATGCAGTCTATTCTTTAGCGTCAATTAGCATTGTCTTTACTCAGCAGTAAACATGTGATACGATTAGCATCATCAAAAGACATATTGTTTTTTCTGTCCCTAATCATGTCAGACTTGCAAACCTTTTTCCATGTCCATTTGGAAAGCTTGAGTTTCATCCATTTGCAGCTCTGCAGTCA